TAAAAGTCCTGGTATCATGGCTATGCACTAATGCATTTTAACCATAAAAATTCCGACGAAATTTTATTATTCCGAATGAGAAAATTAACGAAACAAATCAAAAGAACTGAAAGATCAAGTGAAAAGAAAGTCATTTGAGAAAGGAACCTGAGCAAAGTTAACCTACGGTATATGAGATACCAAGATTTTTAACAAAATTTAAACTGTTTAATAACCCCACTCGGGCCCCACGTTGGGCGCCAAAAACTGTAGTATGTATTGTTGGATTTTCTCAAAAAATGTGTTTAAAATGTTAGAATGATGAACGTATTGGCCGGGCACGCAATATTCATCAGCCTTATTGCTCGTCGTTTGGGGTGGGATCTTGCCTTTGTCCATCAATAGCCACAACAACTACAAGTTATATTTTTATTACGTGCATTATTGTTAACAAGAAGAAAATAATTAACAGGATAGTGAAAGGAAGAGGGTATCTACAGCCCTAGAAAATAGACAAAACTTTGGTTTTCAACTAATCAGGTTGAGCCATGCTAAGGTGTTGTCAGCATGGTAAGCCCACCCATCCTGTTCACCATAAAATCCACACTAAGGAAATTAATATCATATGATAAACCCACTGTTTGTTACCCTACATTACCTTTTGGACCCTTTAAATCAAACCCTTAGGATTCAATTCAATACATGATTACAAAAATCATTGATTTATTGAAAAAAAATTCCATTAGAGACTAAAAACGAATTAAATACTAACTATTATTTCCTTAATCATTATTCAAATCCAGAAATGATTTTAACCAAAAATTAAATTCACAACTTAAAAAGTTAATACAGGTTAAGGTAAAATTGTTATCAACAAACGCAATAATTTAATGATTATCCTAGAATTTATAAAGTTATTCTTTAAAAAAAAATTCAAAATTTAATTATTTTATGACGGTCTGTCTTATCGCAATAGGAATTTATAATACCGATATAAAAAAAAAAACATTATAGAAAAATAATATATTTTATTAGAAAAATGTAATTTTAAGAATTTTAAAATAATTCAAGTTAATGCGATAAACGTGTGAAACATATTGGCTGAAACATTTGATGAAAATTAAAAAAAAAATGTTTTTTGTATATAAGAGGCAAAATTTATGGGTATGGATGTGTATCATTTTTTTTTTCTATCCGTTTACATATCACGGTTCCCCTAAGGTAAAATCAGCTGTTGGGTTATTGAACTCTTTTCTGTTGAGTATACACATACATACACACATAATTTTGATATTTATCACTTGTTATATGCAAGTTATATTTGGCAAGAAAATTCGCCAAAAAAAAATATTTTATACCAAATAACAAAAAGACCATGATTACCGGCTGATTGTTGGATGGATATGCATGGAAAACTAACAAAAAGTATTAAAAATACTAAAGAAAAAAAATCAAAGCAAAAAATAACAAACAGATTTGGAGTTAATGTTAGTATGGTGATGCAGGGCTTTTCAAACTGTAGCCCACCAAAGAGCGAGTTAACAGACTTGTACTGATGTTAACAGTGGTTGGTCAGTTAACATAGCACACACCACAGCATATTCATCCAACCAGTACAGCACTATCTTTGATCAGCAGGAAATAAAGAGGAGCAAATACAAACGAGTTAGTTGTTGAGTTAACCTCTAAATACCAATATTAATAATTAATACAGATTTTTTTAAAAGGACTTTAAACAATATATGTATATACAAAAAATTACGTTCCAAAAATATGCAAAATGAGAGAATGGACTAACGGTTAACTCCCAGAATGTGGTACTCATTTGTGTTTGCTCTGGATAAATGAAAGAGATCGTCACTTACTACTTATGTTGCTGGAGCTCCCACGACGAAAGGCCTTTCAGAGGGGGTGAGGTTGACAACATAAACCACGATCTCCAAAACTTAAGGCGATGTTCAATGATTTTGTTTAATTTTTCTGCTGCAATAAACACTGTTCTTTTATAGTATTTGGCATATGTTTCAACGTTTTTTTTTCCTTAGATCATTCTTCAAATGTTTATTTGCCAATCTCAATATTTACACAGTTTAATAGAAATTAAAAATAACACTTTTTCTCTCATTTGGGTCATCAAATATGTTTCACTTTCATACGTTTCCACTACCGCGTACAAGAACAAAACAAAGTAAATCTTATGCAACAATTGACAAAATCGGTATGTAATAAAATAAACTAAACTAAATTTATATAAATCTGTTATTGAGTTTTCTGTTAAAAAGGCCAAAACACGAATTTTGCACTGATTTTGGGATAGATTTTCATAAATTCTCGTATTAGAAACACTTTTAAATATAATTGTGGCGCTGTCAACTTTGTCTTGTTGATACCCTGACGGAACAAAATCAACTGTTTGCTGAGGATTTATACGGTACTCTTGCAGTTACCACCTTTAGGTTTCCAGGGGTTACCCAACGCAACAAAGGGGTAAAGGGAATCCCAGTAAATATTAATATAGAGGACAGCAGAAAAAAAATCAGCTCCATGAACCAAAAGGGATATTAGTTAATCAAAATCAATATAGGTTATTGAAAAAAAAAAAACAACACCTATGTGGTTGCTTCGATGATTGGCCAGCTTAATTTTCTGCTGACTACCAGAAAATTTACACCAAACTGGTAGAAAATGATTTAGAGCTCATCCGGGGTTTTTATACCTTGGCCTTTTTAATCCAAAATCCAAAGGGCACACATCTTTAAACCAAAGGACACACAGCTTTCGAAGGTATGGCAGAAAATGTTCTTGTTGCAAAGAATTATACTCTGGGTGTTAATCGTTTAAAGAACAAAATCAAAAAGAACTTCATTCCATTATGCCACTAGCTTTTCTAGCCTCGGCTACATTAATGAGGCAAATAGCTGAATCACTAACATATACATAAAGTTCCAAAATTCAGTATGGCTCCAAAAATTTAACTGCTACATTCAAAGCCTGAATGCCTATGTATACATAGTCACACAAACAAGAAAAAGTTGGTATAACGAAAGTAAACAGATTTCACCACTTGAGGTAGGGGAAATTTGGTAACGCCAACAACAATTGAATTCGCCGATAATGTAAACACAACCTGACATTAATATTTATCAAATTTCATACTCTTGTTGCTGTATGCTTTTCTAACATAAGAGAAAAATACAAAAAATAGTTAAAAGAAGCGAAAAAAAAAAAAACATGACGGAGCCGGGATTCGAACCTGGGTTTCCGGATCGGTAACCAAAGTCGCAACCACTAGGCCACTGCAGGTCTAGCACCTAGTATAGATAAGTGAATATATGAAATGGCAATCGATGTAACAGCAAACTAGGTTACAACAAGAATTGCAGTTCTTCAGAAATCTATAAATAGAACAGTGTAAACAAGATCCACAAAGTGGATTACATTTTAGGGGAATATAAATATGTAGCGAGTAATGTTAATCAACATTAGTTTCTATGCATACGAAACCAGAGATGTCAAACCATACTGTCTGAAGTGCCATATAAAATTTAAATATTCGTAATTCGTGAAAAATCTGCATGCCCTGCTATAAGATGTACCAGGTCTTGAATGGATCGGATGTTTTTATGAGCTTCATGACAAGTTTTGACCCTTTGTGGGGGAGGTACCAGAAGGAAATATATCTCATCTGGACCGATATATCTCAAATAATGGGATGTGTGAAATATGAATAGAGCCGGAAACTTATTTCGGATTTTCAGGGAGGTCAGGGAGGTACCACAAGGAATTTTCCGATCTTTACCACCTTTATAATCGATTATGTGTTGACAGAAATATTAAGATGTACCAAGTCTGAATGGAATCGGATTTTAATTTCGAGTTTTATGTGCTTCATGAGTATTCAAAATGTTTACCCTTTGTGAGGATGTACTTGATGGAGTGGACTGACACTTCCATTTTCGGATCTGACGCAAATATTAGGATTTGTCAAGTTGGAGCAAAATTGGATAATCTTTTCTCTTTCTGTGCAGTAAAATATTTTCTTTTCTAAACTTTCGACCACAAAAGGTAGAACTTTTACCTTTTTTGGTCGAAAGTTTAGATTCCTCTATATGATTTCCAGTAACTCCCATATTTGGTTTTATTCGTAAATGAAATCAGCCTCTATGGATATGTCAGAAGTTGTATTTCTGATTTCAGTCATTTTGGTATTTTTTCACATAAAATTGTGTTCTATTTCATCAGCTAAATATGATTCCAAAAGGCATCCAAAATAGGCTTCTATTCTGACCCTAACCCCTCCTCCGTGTTAAATTTCGTGAGGATCGGAACATAATTGCGATGATATCGCGATTACAAACTAACATGGACAGACGGAAAGACGAATGGACGGTTAGATTCATAGATAAATCGACTCAGCCCGGCGAGATAGGAAGATGTGTAGGACCAACATATAGAGGTGTTACTTAATTTTTGGCTCAATCAAACTTAAAATACCCTCAATACATAGTCTATTTAAATTTTATTTAAAATTTAATCCATTTTTGTTCGCTATTATTATTCAGAAACTATTCTTCCAAGAAGCTCAAACTGAACTCTGTTTGCTTTCATAGTTTCATAGAAAACATTTGTTCAGCGTAAATATCTGCAGGCAATATGTCAGCCGTCTAAAAATAAGGGTGAATAGTTGTAAGAATGCACACAAACACATTCACAGACATGTACAAATATTTGTCCAATTTTTGTTTATTACAACGAAATGATGAAATGAATGAAAGAAATTGACAAGGGAAGGACAAACTTCTTCTGGTCGAAAATAAGAAAAAAACATATCCTCTGTTTATTAGATTAGAACGATTTGAACAATAAATTGTTTTGCTATTGTTAACTAAAGAATAAAAGTGTTTTAAATTTAATAAAGAGAAAGTTTTCATTCTTCCATTTGCCGAATGGCAAAACATGTAAATTTAATCCATTATTTTTCAACATCAAACCATTTCATGGTCATCATTGTTTTCTTGCAGGATTTCCAGGACAAAGTGAAAAAGAAGCGCATAAAAATCTGCTTCAGCAAGGATATATCATCGGACAAAGGTTTCAGTTCGTCGACTGGCGACAACTATGCCGGTGGCTCCAATGCCAACATCAGAGAAGAAACAGAATTCAGCACCAGCAATATTGAGGACAAAAGCCATGCAGGAACAGAGCTGACAAATGTCTCGGACGAGATGACAACCACGAATGCCGATGAAGTAAGTAAATCGCAAGGAGATGGATAAAAGCATCCTCATTCTTCGCTCCATGCATCCGGCAGCATTTAAATAGCAAAAGACAAAGCGGAAATAGATTAAATTTTTCGTTGTAACAAAAATGTTTTCTCTTTTCTTTTCGTTTTTTCTTCTGTCATTTCCGCCATGCCTTAACCTTTCATCAAAATCGCATGACAGCGTGTACCCCTGCCTCTGGAGATTTCAACTGTGTCGCAGCAGGTTGCTGCCACAACATCAACATTTCAGCAGCATGTCACGGCAATTGTGCTGACCACTGCAACGCCCCGCCTCACCGTGTGTGGCGGCGGAGGCGGTGGCGGCAGCAACAACAAACAACAGCAACAACATTTGCTTGGAGCGAATCCCCACCAAAAGCTAGCCAAACGACGTCAGCAAATTGAGGCGAAGCGCGAACGAAAGGCAGCCCAAACACTGGCAATCATAACGGGCGCCTTTGTTGTCTGTTGGCTGCCCTTCTTCGTGATGGCTCTGACACTGTCGCTGTGCAAAAGTTGTGAAATTAATGCTGCTGTCGCATCGCTCTTCCTATGGCTTGGCTATTTTAATTCCACGCTAAATCCCATCATTTATACCATTTTCAATCCAGAGTTTCGACGTGCCTTCCAGCGTTTGTTGTTCGGCAAGAAGTATGTGGCCAATCGGTGTAAGCGGCGTAACGCGAACATATGATCCTAGCAGAAAAGGGGCCCGGAGCCCAGTGTTGCAATTGCGGCGGAATATACGAGTTGTGCGTGATGTTAAATGCGGTAAGTGACTTAGTATTTAGTTTTTTCTTCTTTTTTGTTAACTAAGTTTTTTCTGTGGAAATATTTTAGTTTTGAAAGTATGTATAATATGAATTATTATCTGCAAAAGGAGGGTTCTGTTTTAGTGTGTGCGTGTGTGTATGATCAATTTTGATGGGGGAAAATGCACATAGCATTGTTGAAATAATGACCCAAATGAAATTGTTAGTATGAAATATACATGATTTAGAGCAATGTATATTGGAGCGTTCACCGACTAAAAAATGTGCAGCTGCAAAATGTGACATTAGGGTGTTCCAAAAAAAAAAACAAACCCCCGGCATTTTTTTTTCATTCTATCCAAAAAGTTTAAGTGTGAAACTAAACGTCGATCGGATAATATTACCACGTGCCCCCGAGCGATAATGTTTATGGGGCAGGGTTTGAAATCGATGTACAGGCCAAATTTATGGTTCAATCGATAGACAAAATTTTGAGTTCATTTTGCATGGGTGGATCCAATTTCGATACAGCTCCCCTATATATATTTGTGTAGAGGTAATGACTCTATGCCATAAAAATTCATACTTCAGGTTTACGGATAAAATAGAAACAAGTAAGAAGGCAGCTAAGTTAGGCCGGGCCGAACTTTTTATACCCTCCATCATTTGGAAGAAACTTGAAAATTTTCAAAACAAATTCCCTCGAAAAATACCTCTGAAATGAAAACCGATATATGGGGGCTACGCGAAGACGTGGTCCCTCATAAGTAATTTGCGTCATAGGTTGTAGTAATGGTTCCGAACTTTATATACGAAATTTGAAACAATTCCGGTGATTAATGTCGAAAAAATATGAAAATACCGAATAATTGGGGGTACCGTTATAAGGGCGCTATACTAAAACCTGGACCTATTTAAACAATTTTCTTCTGAAGGGTAAAGTACCCAAAAGAATCCCTTGTGTGTATTTTAAATCAATTCCGTGGGAAAAATTACCTGAAATCATAAAAATAACGAATATCGGAAGGTACCGTTATATGGGGGATATAAGAAATTGTGGACCTACATAGATAATTCTTTTCCAGTACTCACAAGGAACTCCTTGTGTACCGAATATACAGGGGTACCGTTATCTCATGGACCTATAAACATAGTTCTCTTCCAGGGTATAAAGTATTCATAAGGAATTCTTTGTGTGAGTTTTCAGACAATTCCGTTGAAAACTGTGTAAAATCATACAAATACCGAATATCGGGGTGTGCCGTTATATGGGGGCTATACGATACCGTGGACAGACGAATGGACGGACAGGGCTTAATCGTCTTAGAATTTTACGCTGATCAACAATATGTATACTTTTTTGGGTCTAAAATTATTATTTCGATGAGTTACAAACGGAATGACGACTTTAATATACCCTCCATATATATGGTGGAGGGTATAAAAATAGAAGGTGCATTCAAGGTTCAGTCTTTCTGATAGCGCCCAAGAAAAGGCCAACATTTTATATAATGACTTTCATATCATGCGAAATAATAATAACTCTCAAAGAATGCGAGTGATTTGTACGTTATTGGCCAAACTAAAAACATCTCAATAATATAATTGATATTGAGGTAACAGTTGGTAAAAATGCGTGCTATAAAGGGTAAGGGTAGTAAAGTGATAGAGCTGAAATCGTGAAATTTTATAATGCTATAACTGTTGGTGACCATAGTTGAGACATGCGACGGTTTTACTATTGAGTACTTAATTTATACGAAAAGTACTAAATGCTGCTAAATTGGATATTGAGTAAAGATATAAAACTGGAATTTCGAAATTTGATATTCAGGTCTCTGTTGATATCTGGTATTGAGATCTGTTGGTGATTTTGCACATGCCTACGAAAAGTACTAAATGGTACTAATTTTGGATCACTGTAGGATGGAGATATATAGATTGTTTTCGATGTGCGTACTAAATGGTACTACATTTGGAATAAGGTGAGGATATAGAGATGAAATTCTGAAAATTAATATTTAGGTCATTGTTTGTGTCTGGGGTTTGCATATGGAGACGTTAAAACTGTTTTTGACAGAAAATGTGGATGTGGATTTTATTAATAACCACCTTGTAAGATTTAAAATAAAGGATTTTGAAGACGTTTTGATGAAAACGGAAATATTTTCCTACTACTCCCGAGCAAGGAAAAAACTTGAATAATAAATAAAACCTCAAAAAAATTTAGTACGGTGTATGACATTTGATTAAAGAATTTATCAACTTGAACAAATTGTATATTATGAGTACCTAAACAGGTCTAACACAAATTGTTAGAACGGATATAAATTTTTAAGGTGGATTTTTCGCTGACGAAGATGCGAGATCTTGCTAGTCTCAAATAAGGTGATAGTTTATCCGATTTTGTTAAAGCTTCAAAGAATAGTTAAATGTGAAATTAGTGAGCGTTTTACTTCTACCTGAGGACATCTTAGTATTTTATTCAATAATAGATCTCTTGTTTGCAATGGATTTTTTTTGTACCAACTCTTAAAGCAGCGCACATTCATATATAACAACAATTAAAAAACTTACATTTTCTCTTTAATGGATTTGAATTTAATGGACGGAATCCTATTTTTCCCAGTCAAAATGTTTTTGAACATAACCCTTGTGATTTTCTTTAATGAATAAAATTATAATTATGAAAAATTAATGAACATGTTCCAAAAAATCTCATTATTATTTTCATTTTTTTTTCATTTCAGCTCCCTTATCATATCCTGTGCTAGGAAATTGCTCCTCATGGAAAAAAAAAACATTAACGCAAACTGTAAAGGTAAATTTTGTAAATAAATTGCGAATTAAAGGCGCCCAAGGCTGATTATAATGGACAATCTTTAAACACAACAAAAATAACATGAACTCCCACAATGAAGAAACATAACTAAAAACCCCTACAAGAACAACAACAATGCCTTTATTCATTTCAATTATGACATAACGCGTGTTTAAACCCAAAATAAATGTGTCTCACCTCAAATAAATTAAAAATTTTATGAATAACAAGAAGGAAAAAAGCCAAACAAGAAATATTATATTAAGCAAACAACTTTTTGAATGTGATTTTAACATGTTAGCTATTAAGGAAGCTTAACACAAAAAAAAAAAAAAAAACAACAACAACACAAACACACACCCACACACGAACAAAATTGAAAAGTTATAATTCAATCAAAACAAAACGAGGATCAATTCAATATAAAAATCAAATACCAATTCATTATTCAAACAACCAAGAAGAGAGCAACAAGAAACAAACAAACGATAAACTTATGATGAACAACCAACAAACAAACAAGCAAACAAATGAAAATACCAATAGCAACAACAATTAACAATAAATTCCTGTCTAGTTTTAAGTGAAATAAAAATGAAAATAAATAAAACATAGATTTAGAAATCATTTTTAAAATGATTGTACAAAAAAAAAAAAAACAAAGAAAAAAAGAACAACAAGTCAAACTACTAATTCCGACTAAACTGAACAAGCAAATCTCCCAACTAAAAAAAATACAAATATTACATATGTAGATATGTAAGCAAATGAGTTTTCCATATACATACGAACCAAAAAACAAAAACTTAAAAAAACATATGTGTAAGTATGTGTGTACAGTAGCAAAGTCATTTGTTTCGTTCGTTTCCATTTTTTGTCTAAATATTGCATAAGGTTTTCCATTGAGCAATTGGATTCAAGTAGTAATAGTTATGTTCTTAAACAATTTTTATTAAACAAACAAAGTGTGTAGGATTTGAAGTCAAAATTTAAAAGCATACACCGAGAGAAATAGTTAAGTCCGCTTATTATTCCTTTTAAAGGCCTTAGAATATTTGTTGAACTATCTTGAAGCTATTAACTGTCTAATCTTTAATTAAATTGCATATTAACATATATTTCTATAGTTGTTCCCTTATTTGTTTCTTATCTTTGTTGATTTAATAAAAATTAATTCTACTCCTTAAATCGGAGGTATATGAAACAATATGATAGCCTTTGCCAAATATTTCTGGAGAATATACATCACCAATATTTTGAACTATTTTAGACTATTTCAAAACCTGTATTACCAAATTTTTATACCCTCCACCATATATTCCGTTGGTAACTCATCGAAATAACAACTTTAGACCCAACAAAGTATATATATTCTTGATCGGCGTTAAATTCGAAGACGATTTAGCCCTATCCGACCGTCTGTTGTTATCACGCTAGAGTCAAAACGAATTAAGATAGCAAGCTAAAATTTTGCACATATCTGTCTTTTGTCTGCAGGCAAGTCAAGTTCGAAGATGGGTTATATCGGTCCACGATATTGTATAGCCCCTATATACCCGGTACCCCCAATATTCGGTATTTTCATGATTTTAGCCACATTTTTCAATGGAATTGTCTGAAATTCTACACAAGGAATTCTTTATGAGTTATTTAACCCCTGAAATATTCCCAATATAAGGGTACCTCCCTATATTAGGTAGTTTGATGATTTCAGCCAAATTTTTCACTGGGATCGTCTTACAATGAAGGAGTTCCTTGTGAGTACTTTACCCTCTAGAAGATTGGTCCACGTTTTAGTAAGGTGCCCTCCTTTTAGAACCTCCTTCCTTTTAGAACCTCCCTCACAACAGCTCTAAGTCAGTACAAAAACAAGTAAGCAAAAGCTACAGTCGAGCGGGGCCGACCGTTGAATACCCTACAACACTATAATAAACGATACAGTTTATATAGGCGAGATACTCGAAAGAATTCCACAAGATATTGTGACAAATAATAAAAGAAAACCATCAGGTTCCGTTCTCTAATTTTCGAATAATGGCAACTTAAACTAATTTGCTTATTTCCAATTTATTTGTAGATGTTGCACGTAAATGGTCTTCCTAGATCTGGAACCAATATTTCCCAAAGACCTATAATCTCTCAGAAGTGGCAAGTGGCAATGAGATACAGACATTTGACTATATTCTTCAACGAAATCGGCGTTAACGAAATAGTCAGAAGTGCGTCTTTCCAGTATTTGTGAATTCTCCAAAAAGTCACTGGAATGAACATTTTCTTATTTTGTCTACAAAAGTTGGCAAACTATTTCACACATTGAATATTTTTGGATGGCTATCCAAAACTGCTTGGCTTTTGCAATGACCGGTAACACCCATTAAAATGTGCGTGAGGATCGGGCGATAATTACGACCTGCTGACAGTTTTGCAGTTTTGTTGGTCCCTTTCAACCGTTAAATATATGGCGATCATCTCCAAAAAGAGTAGGCTTATATTCTGACCCTCATCTTATCTCCATTCAAAATTTCGTAAGGATCGGGCCATAAATGCAATTTGTATATGATATCCTGATATCCTAACTACTTAGTTTTGTTAGCTGTAGAAATATTACCAAATGTTTAATTCAAAATGAAAATATGCCAAATATATGACAAAAATTGAAAAAATATGAGAGAATTTTACAAAATCAATATTTTCATCTTTAGATAGATATTTTTATGCGATTTTTTAGACGTTTTTTCTTTCCTAACAAGAGGCCATTCTGAATTAATGAGAACTGTCGAAATCAGTTCAGCCGTTCTCGACATATAAGAGATCTTTCAAGCATATCTTCTTTGATAGACATATATATCGCACATATTTTGCTATATATCTGATTTCTTGGATGTTAACATCAATGTAAAGATCAGAAGTAACCTTGTGATGGCTTTGTGATTTCGCCGGGATTAAAAATATTCGCGGTTTAATGAAAAATTTTGAATTTTTTCAACACAAAAGATATGGTCTATTTTACCCGCTAAATATTATCCGATGACCACCTAAATTGGTAGGCTTTTTCCCCGCCCTTAACTCTTAACACGATTGGTCTATAATTGCGACCTGTATAGGTACTGCAAAATCCGACATTTTTTCAGTATTTGGTCCATTTCAACCCTAAACATTTGGCGATCATCTCCAAATGAAATAGGCTTCTATTCTGACCATAACCCCACCTTCGTGCAAAATTTCGTAAGGATCGGGCCATAATTGCGACCTGTAGCGTGATTACAAATTAACATGGACAGACGGACAGACGGACGGACGGACATACATAGCTAGATCGACTCAGCTCGGCGAGCTAGGAAGATCCATATATACTTTCCTATGTGGGAAATCAATATTTCGAGTTGTTACATAATTTTTGGCCCAATCAAACTTATAATACCCCCAACACATAGTGTTGTAGGGTATAAATAAAAAATATAGGCCTACTTCATCAAAAACATCCCCCTCAATGGTTCAAAATTTTGAATTATAATAACTTTTATATAATGTGATATATTAAATCCTATCACCATATTTTTATCAACACACGATCTAGGGTATATCGGAACTTCAGTTCTGGTACCTCCCCCGCAAATCCAAATACATTAACATATAAAAGGACAGGTGTGAAGATGGGATATATCGAACAACACCTTCTGCTACCTTTCCCACAAAGGGTCAGCATTTTGAGCCATTTCAACCCCCATAAAATGTGCAAATATTCCCAAATTCTATTTAGAAATCGTACATTGTAATATTTGTACTAGCAAGTGGAAAAACAGTTAGTTCAACCGGGCCCAACTTTGATGTTAATTTCGGGTTTATGAGTTTCATGGATATTCAAAACTTTGACCTTTTGTGGGGGAGATACAAGAAGGAGTGGAGTAGATATTGTGTTAGTAGAAATTATGAAATGTGTGAAATATGAAAATAACCGGGTGCTTATTTCGGATTTTAGTATCGTTTTGGTTATTCAAAACTGTGAGTCTTTGTGGGGAGGTACCAGGGAAATGGTCCAATCTCTACCATCTTTATAAGATATATTGTGTTGATGTTAATTTCGCGTATTATTAGCTTCATAGATATTCAAAATTTTGACCTTTTGTGGGGAGGGGTACTTGATGGAGTAACCGATATTGTTCATTTTCGCATTAGGATTTGCAAAGATGGAGCAAAAAACGGAATATCTTTTCTCTCTCTGTGCAGTGAAATATTTTTGTTTTGAAAATGTTGACCTTTTGTGGGGGAGGTACCAGGACCGATGTTGCCAATCTCCGAACTCGATCTAAGTTTGTTAATAATATTACGATGTACCAAGTTTGGATCAAATCGGATACTCCCTTCCAGAGTTCGAGAGCACCAGCCAGCAGACAGACAGACTGAGGGAAGGAAATCGCTAGATTGTTTTCAAATGTCCTAAAATGGATTTGGTCCAAAGAAACCTAGGGTCTAAAATCGTTATTTCGATAAGGCACGTTTTGGCCATGTCAAATTATATGTAGCCATATGGCTGACGGTATGATGACAGGAGTTTTCAAGTAACAACATAAGTAGGAGTCTCAGATATCTATATCGATTTTCACCAAATCCACTTCCACAAATATTAAAACTCATTTTGATGATGATTTCCGATGTTTACTATGACCAAATATTATTTATTTCGTGAATATATTATAGCCTTCATGTTGGTTTAAAATCGGCCACAATTCGTATATGGCAGCTATAATCATATCCATTGCTCTGACTCAGAAATTGACATATAAATAAGTTATATTTGTCGGTACAGTTTGTCGTGTAAGAATCAGTGCGAAGCACTTTGAGATTGGATAGTTTGCTTTCTAAACCAGGATAAGTATTTTTGAATATTTTGAATACACAGACATTTACATTACTTGTATCGACGTAATGACATATTTCATAACCTAAATATACTAAGATCACCACGAAAAACTATTGGTGTCAATCTTGATTGGAATTCGATCTACATTATAAATTTCGTGGTGATCGATTTCTAATTGCGCAAAGCAAACTGACATACGGTATGTTGATCGATTCAGTTCGTCAAGATATGCTTATCGATATAAGATATGGAGGTATTTTTGTATCCTCCATCATATATAGTATAGAGGATATATTAAGATTGTCATTCCATTTGTAACTCCTTGAAAAAATCATTTTAGACCCCACAAGTATATGTATTCTTGTTTCAGCATAAGATTCTATGTCGATTTCTGTCCGTCTGTCCCTATGCCTGTCTGTAGAAATAACTATAGCTTCCGAACAAATTGAAGAAGGTGGGTACAATTTTGCTGAGATGAATTTTAGGTCCGTTTAGGGAAGTTTTGGGAATAGAAAATGGGACATATAGATCAGTATTTTGATATGACCCCCCATATAACTGTACCGCCAGATTAAAGGTGTTTTCTCTATTTTAGTCATATAAAAATTTGCTGTAAATTGACAGTTTGTGTTCCCTATATATCCCCTATATTCGGCATTTTGTTGAATTGTGACACATTTTTCACTGTAATAGTATCTAATTTGGTATTTGGTTCGTAATGGAAACTACTTCCACTGACAGAAATTTGCTTATATAGGTCCCCGTCCTTCTATAACCCACATAAAACGGTACCCCCCCCCCCCCCCCCCCCTATATTCAGTATTTTGATTAGAAAAGTATACTTACTTCCACCGGAATTTCTTCAAATCAAATTTGCAATTCACAATGGGTACTACTTCCTATGACAGAAAATTACCTGTGCAAATCCACGCCTACTCGTTCATACGAGTCCTTGCAGCTTCTAGACCCATCATTTACTTATAGGAAATATTTGGTAAAGATTAAGGCATATAAACGAAATTTATCTCCGGCATTTAATATTCGTTAAAATAATTTTAAATCTATCCAATTAGAAAAATCAAAATGTTCACCACAAAAAAGTTACGAGACAAGAGCCCATCTCTGTAACTCTTTTGTTTTATTTATTGTTTTAGGTTCTTTTTTTAATTCATTTCCTGCTTTACATTTAACTTTTTATAATTGCAAAAATATACAAATAAAATAAAGCAATAATGCGAATAGCTTTAAGGACACAGCAAAATGGATCAATCGATATTATAAGAACAACAACGTTTTTTCCTTAGTAGTTTATTTTTAGGTTATTTACACATTTAAGCAATTTATGGAATTGTTTGTTGAAAATGTGATTGGATGCTAAGAAAATCCCAATACTATATGTAAAATATTTGGACCACAATAATTGTAAATAAAAACATTTTTTAATTAAATTATAAAATTTTTAAATTAATATAAAATCGAGCATTTGTCGTTTTTTCTGTTTTCGATCGATCTCTCGGTGTATGCGCATAATTGTAAAAATAAAAGAAATCTTTTGTTCCTTTATTAAAGTTTTAATGTAAATATATATAAAACAATTCAATTGAATAAAACTAAAACTGAAAACAAAACATCAAACACGTGTGCTGTATTTCATTTAGGCCTATAAGCAGGTACATTTTGTTATTCGTACTATGAGTGATTCCAACTTCATTAAAATTTTTGCTGAAAACTCCATCGATGGAAGTCGGAAAAATATTTAAGTTCTCTCGCATTAGATTTTTATAATGTATTTCAGAGTTTGAAGACTTTATATTATTTTCTTTGGTTTTTGGTACACAGAAATGCACTTCAAAACCATTTCGAAGGAGGTGGGTAATAATTATTTTATTTTTCCATATATAACTTACAACCAGTAAGGAAAAGTCTAAAGTCGGGCGGGGTCGACTATATGATACCCTACACCACAATGCATATTTATAGAGCTCCCGTAACAAAAGAATTTATTTCAAGAAGATCATACCACCTATCAACATTTGGCTTTAGAGCATTTCAAGTTCGCTATAGAGTGCATGATATCACTTGGAGAAGGATTATATTAAAACAAATATATATTGGAGTCGTGTTGCACAAAAAAACAAACGTAAAATAATATACATTTTATCGAGATAGGTTAAGATTAGGGAGCTATATCCTAAAAAAAATTCACAGAGGTATTATCGAGCAGTATCTGATGTCCGGTACCAAATATCATTTTTTCTAGGGTGCATATTACGCATGTGAGGGACTTAAAACCTCAAATCGGATGAAACATATATATGGAAGCTATTTCTCCAAATTTAATTAACTTGCTTCTAAAATGAATTCGGTTATTTACATTTGCAACAACACTATGTGTTGGAATATTATAAGTTTGGCCAAAAATTATGTAACACCTCGAAATATTGTTCAAAGACATAGACAGCTATATATGGATCTTCCTACTAGCCGGAACTTCCTGCTGCCTGTCCGTCTGTCCATGTTAATTACGCTTCAGGTCGCAATTATGACCTGAACACCATAAAAATTTGCATGAAGTTGGAGCTAAGATTGAAAAATCATTAGGGGTTGAAATGGATCAAAACTGAAATGCAATTTTTATACCCTACACCACATAGTGGTAAGGGTATTATGTCTTTGTGCATTTGCTTGTAACATGGAGAAGGAAGCGAGATAGACCCATTGTTACTTTTGAGGATCTCCATAGAATCACTTTCTGAATTGATTTATGCATGTCAGTCCGTCTGTCCGTCCGTCCATCTGTCCATGTATTCTTGTGAACAAAATGCAGGTCGCATTTATTATCCGATTGAAATGAAATTTTCCAAACAACATTTGTTTGGCCCAAGGACGAACGCTATTGAAATTGGAGATAATCTGTCAAAATTTAGATACAGCTCCCATATATATCTTCGTCCGATTTGCCTTTTATTGTGCACCAAACGTGTAATATCAGCCCGAATAGTATGGAATTTTGCACATAGGCCTGAAAATAAGTGTGCCAAAATTGAAATCGGTTCAGATATAGCTATAGCTCCCATATATATTATTCATCCGATTTGTTATTTTTGTCCTCCGCAGCCGTAACGATTCCATATTGTGCAAATTTTTTCCAAAACAGTCGCTTAATCAATTAGACGAAGATCCGCTCTATTGCTGCCAAATTCTCTTGATTGATGAGAATTGTTGAGGTTGAATTGTTGTGTCAATAAGCAATACTGCCGTATTTGGAGCTGTTAAAACATCTGTTCATATTTATTTAAAAACTGAGTAAGGACGACGTGTAACCGTTATAATTTGAAATTATGGAATGGTGGCATTTCATTTAATACCTTGTATTTGGGCAAATATTACTCAAAAAATTTACTTCACATAAAAATTCCTTTTTCCGCATACGAAGTAGCGGTCATTTGCTAGATTAAATATTTTTTGTGTTCAAATTATATCACTGTTACGATTTCGCATAGAAGAAACCATCAGGTATTCAAATAAATACTACATAGTATTGAAAATTGCAAATATCACGAAAACTCAATAAATAATTTATTATCATATTCTTGAAACAAGTAGTCCACTTTTTGGGTCAAGGTCGTGCTGTGTTGAGAAATGGATTCCTGCAGGCGACACTAACCTACATCAACCAACTTGCGAATATTCAGCTACATGTGGCGGCCCATTAATGTGAAAAGAACACGCAACAATGGCTACTGTTTAATTGGCAGAAAACGTTAACGCAATAAATATTTAATGTGCTTGTATATACATACAAGCGTATACACAGTCAAATGAAAATCTCTATCAGAAAAACCGGAGGAATGTATTGTATTTATTGTTCTTTCACAGGGTCGTCATTGGGGACAGATTTCCAATATACGCATAGGAAATAAAAAGTCATTAAAAATTAGAACTGAACAATGCTTCGAAGTTTACCTCCAGGGTAAATTGTCTCCTGCACAGACAATTTTCTGTCATAGGCTGTAGTATTCCTCACGAAATCTAAATACCAAATTTGAAATAGCTCCGGTAAATAATGCCGCTAAAATCATAGAAATACCGAATATGGGGGGTACCGTTATGTGGCCAATTTTACCAAAATATTAATAGTCGGAAGCTAGAGTGATTTCCACAGACAGCCAGACATTGCTAAATTGGCCAAAAATTTTATGCTGATCAAGAATATATATAATTTGTGAAACTAAAATGTATATTTCGAGGTGTTACAAACGGAATGACCTATTTAATATACCCTCCATGCTATGGTGGAGGGTTTATAAAATTGAAACAATTCCGGTTTATATGTCGCTAAAATCATCAGAATGGCAAATAAAGGGAAGTACCGTTATACGGGGGCTATATGAAAACGTGGACTGACATGGCCCATAATAGAAACTTAACTTATCTCCTGGCAAAATTGACATGCGTCAAAAATGTTAGCCTTCCATCTCAAGACTTTTCAAAATAGCGTGATTACAGAAGACAGACGGACATCACCTAGACTTCTACGCTGATCCAGAATATTTATACTTTGCAAGGTCTAACATGAGTATTTCGAGGAGTAACAAACGGAATTGCAAATTTAATATACCCTCCATACTATGGTGGAGGGTATAAAAACTGAGCCGTGCTCTTAAATAGTAAAAGAGGATCACTTGCGTTAAAACACTTTAAATCGACCGGTACATGAACATTATTTATAATGAAAATTGTGCCGCTTATATGAGCAAGACTTGGAAATACTCTAAAAAATGGACATTCGTCAAAGCGGATCGGGCCAGCTAATATATAGATATATGCGATATTTTGGCTTTGCGATTTCGCCGAGATTAAACATATTCGCGGTGTAATGGACAACAAAATATTTTCCGCTGATCATCCAAATTGGTAAGGATTTTTTTTTTAGTTTTTAGGATATTGCAACCCCCATATATTTACCGAACATCTCCTCCAACAATAGGCTTCTATTCCGATCTTAACCCCACCACCATGTAAAATGTCGTGAGAACCATAATTGCGACCTATAGCGTGATTACAATTTAACATGGAGAGTTGGAAAGGCGAACAGACGGACATATATAGCTAGATTGACCCAGGTCGGTGCGATATAAAGATCCATATATAGTTTTCTATGTCGGGGACATAAATTACTGTTATTAGTTACATAAGTTTTTGGTCAAATTAAACTTCTAATACTCCCAGCAGATATTGTATTGTGTAGGATATAATAATAATGATATTCATATTTTGACCACCAGCCGCTCAAAGTATGTATTGATATATTTTGGTATATATTTGTTAACCGATTCCGAAAGATTGATTTTTTCCTCTGTAATTAGCTTCAACACCATTTGGGGTTAATTTAAAGTTCCATTCGAAAAGTTCACAGGACAATCATTTGTACAATTTCATTTGTAGCATGGTGTACTTAAGGAGACACAACTCTCGAACTCTCCTCTTAATGGCTGCATTAAAGTAACAAGAATGAAGAATGAACTTTAAAAAGAAAACTTTTGTAACAATTTATCGACATCTGAAGCTTTTGCCAGCCAGCAAAACAAATCAAGAAAAAATGATGAAAATCACGTTTCACAAATTGTCGATGCACATTTCACGTACTTGTTCTTGACGCCTTTCTCAATTATTGTCTTTCGTTTGCCATTCCCCCCAGATCTCAGACCATCCATGTCCATGTATTAGCATCCGAATGCACTTCACGATTCACAATATTGACTGACCGTTTCCCATCCCGAATCGCAATAGGGGAAGCAATAAACAATCTTGTCCATGTTTCTTAGTTGCTGCCATGGTCATCCAGCCGAGCATCTGAACACCATACGAAACACATATGAAACTTTCCTCGGAGCAGTTGGGGACAGAGTGCGGAGGGATGAGGTCGTTTAAAAGTTTTTAAAGTTTGTTTCGGATGCACGTGTGTGGTCTGCCACTGTGGCATGCAGCAATCAATAATATCAGAAACTGTTCATGCATGTGCTTGGGGTCCAGCAATACAATGACATCATAAAAAGTGCTGGAGAAGGACATGTTTTGCTCAAGGAAACACTCAATGAAGAGATAAGTTTGTTTTCGTATTTCTTCTTCGACATTCATCATGCCTTCCATATGTGAGTTCATGGGATTTGTGCGTGTGTCTGTGCGTTGCAATTTAAAAAGGGACTAAAAGATGAGTTCTGTTTTTAAGCGTTTTGCAATTTTTAATGTGTCGAAATCGAGGATTTGCACTTTGGAGTTATACTATCTATGAGGAGTTAAAAATTTGGCATTAAATGTGGACATTTGGGTAAGGGCTAGAGCTGAAAATCCGAAACAAAAGGATTTTGGAAATTCGAATAAAAAGTATAACAAAAGTACTAAATTGCACAACATTTGGTACCATAGAATGAGAATCTAATTTTGGAAGTGATATCAGAAGATTTATTTTTTAAATTTGTACTTAATGGCAGACTGTACTAAACTTGGTGCAATATAGTTCAAGGTGAATGGATAAAGGTGGAATATTAAAAACAAGTAAAAAATTAAGTTCGACCGAGCCGAACTTTTAATACCCAAACGCCATAATTTTTACAA